CTACTACTACTACTACTACTACTACTACTACTACTACTACTACTACTACTACTACTACTACTACTACTACTACTACTACTACTACTACTACTACTACTACTACTACTACTACTACTACTACTACTACTACTACTACTACTACTACTACTACTACTACTACTACTACTACTACTACTACTACTACTACTACTACTACTACTACTACTACTACTACTACTACTACTACTACTACTACTACTACTACTACTACTACTACTACTACTACTACTACTACTACTACTACTACTACTACTACTACTACTACTACTACTACTACTACTACTACTACTACTACTACTACTACTACTACTACTACTACTACTACTACTACTACTACTACTACTACTACTACTACTACTACTACTACTACTACTACTACTACTACTACTACTACTACTACTACTACTACTACTACTACTACTACTACTACTACTACTACTACTACTACTACTACTACTACTACTACTACTACTACTACTACTACTACTACTACTACTACTACTACTACTACTACTACTACTACTACTACTACTACTACTACTACTACTACTACTACTACTACTACTACTACTACTACTACTACTACTACTACTACTACTACTACTACTACTACTACTACTACTACTACTACTACTACTACTACTACTACTACTACTACTACTACTACTACTACTACTACTACTACTACTACTACTACTACTACTACTACTACTACTACTACTACTACTACTACTACTACTACTACTACTACTACTACTACTACTACTACTACTACTACTACTACTACTACTACTACTACTACTACTACTACTACTACTACTACTACTACTACTACTACTACTACTACTACTACTACTACTACTACTACTACTACTACTACTACTACTTCAGGCAAAGGGGCAATTGAGGTGTTGTTCAGTTGAAGGCTGACGTCAGGGGTCAAAGGTGTGAACTTCGACCTGAAGATTATGAACTGAGTCTTGTCAGGATTGAGGCAGAGACCTCGTGCAGCCAGGATATCACGAACAATGGTAATATCCTCAGCGAGATCGAGTGTGAGTTGGTTTAGGTCCTTGCCAGCTTTGTAGAGGGAAACATCATCTGCGTATTGCCGTGCCTTGCAGTGCTTTGTTGCCGAGGGAAGATTACGAACTGATAAATTGAACAAAGAGGGCCCAAGGACGGAGCCTTGCGGCACACCTCTGTTTCCTGCAAATGTGTCCCCCTGAGCTGTCTTCGTGACGGCACGCTGTTCCCGGTTCTGCAGCTGTACCTCCCACGCCAATGTCTGCCAATTCTTGTAGGAGCATGCCATGGTTTACCGAGTCAAATGCCTTGGACATGTCCAGGAATGCGGCAACAACAAAGTGTCCCTGATCAAGGGATGTGTGCCAGTCATTCACTACACACGCCAGTAGGTCTTCACAGGAGTGGTGCTTGCGGTACGCAAATTGCTCCGGGGGGAGTAGTGGTGTCGCATTCGGAGCAGTGTAGATGTGATCCATGAGTTGTTCATGTGCCAGTGTCTCCAGAAGCTTAGCCATCTGGGGCAACAGTGATATCGGCCTGTAGTTGCTAGCAATGGACTTGTCACCTCTCTTGTAGATGGGACGTGCATGTGCAAATTTGTAGCATTCGGGAAACTCACCGGTGGAGAGTGAGGACGAGAAGAGCCGTGCAAGTGGTGCTGATATTTGCTCTCCAAGTATCTTGTAGATGGTGGGAGGGATCAACTCAGGACCTGTGGCCTTGCGGTTGTCAAGACGTCGTAGGAGAGCCAGGACGTCATCGGCTGTCACAGCGGTAAACTCCGAGAAAGAGTGTTGAGTCAGTGGCCCATGTGAAATTGTGAGAGGGATTTGTGAGTTGGGTGAAAGATCTGTAATGACCTTGGCAAACGTAGTTGTGATATCGTGCAGACTTGCAGCAGGATTTTGCGAGATCTTCTTCCTTCCAAGTAAAGTGTTGAGAATGAACCACTGGGCACGTGGGTTGCGTCGATGGTCATGCACGTGGGTTGCGTCGATGGTCATGCAGTTGTTGCTGGAATAACGCAGAGCGCTTTTCTTAGTAAGCAATTTACATTGACGTCTAAGGCCTCTGAAGTTCTGGACAAGACGTGCACAGTCTGGGTGTTTGGTCATGGCACGGTGAGCACGTTTTCTTCGGGAAAGCAGTTGACGGAGTTCATCATCGACCCAGGGTTGCGGCATCTGTTTCCTGGTAGCACGTACTTGTACCAACGGGCAGTATTGGTCTAGTGAAGAAGTGATCTTGTCCTGCAAGCTCTGGAGATCATCGTTGTGAGTTTCAACTTTGTAGATTGACCATTTGTTGAGCTACACTTGTCTGGAATTCACAAATAGGTAACGTAGACCCGGGTGCTCGAATCAGAAACGATTTGACAGGTGTGAAATTTCTCATCTGTAAATCTCAACATTGTCAGAATATACTTTTGGAGAGGCGATGGAACAGGGAAGGGAGTCTGGCTTGACTCACCCAGCAGGAATTCAGAACCTCGGTGCGCTACAACACAAGCTACAGTACGCAGTAAAATGGTCGTATTTCCTTCGGATTTTTTATTTGAAAATTGGGTGCTCGAATCAGAAACAGCAAACTCGTCAGATCGTCTCCGATTCAAGCACACGGGTCTACCATCGTCTACGCTTGGTGTGGCAGTTGAGGGCAGGTAGTAGTAACTTACTACTTCGTTTTTGAGAGCAAGATGGTCAGTGGAGCCGCAGATTCAGCAGGTCTTTGGCAGCACCGTACAGGAGACCCACATCCTCGAATCAAGGACCCAGCAAAAAGTGGGTCGTGAGTATTTCAAAAACCGTTTACCGGGCAGCGCTGAAATTTGGCATACTAGTACCGTTAGCAGGCTGTATGTTGATGGTATTTGTGAAAACTAAACGAAATCGGAACAAGTTTAGGTACAATTTCAGGGTGTTTCTGTTTTGGTACCCTGTGTCTCATTCGAGCACCCGGGTCTACGAATGGGTGGTTTGCGAGTGTAGAAGTGATGTTTGGAGCGTACGATTGGTAGGAGGAGGTGCATAGTTGTACAGTTACAAGTTGGTGGTCGGACACGTCGCACGGTTCTACTGAGCAGGTATGGAGATAGAGGTCGGTGTGTGCTTGACTATTAGGTGAGATGTATTGCAGTGTATTCGGTACCAGGACAAAATAAAATTTAAAAAAAAGTCTAGAGTGGATTGGCTGGAAAGTCTCGTTGGTGTATTGACTATGTTACGGAGGCCTAGATCATGACAATATGTTTCCAGATGGTGGTTTGAATTCTTTATTCTCACGATGGCACCATCGCCAATAAGAGATAAATTGATGAGAAGGTGAGATTGTGGGTTAAACAGTTGGAAAGTGATTTACATCACTTTGAACTTTACAAGTATGGGAGAGGGTGAGTGCTGCAGGAGCAGATTGAGTTAATCAGCAGTGAGCAGATTTCGTGTTTGAAAGCAGGTCGGGAGGAGACGTCACGAATGCTAGCAGGGAGGGCATTGTAGTATTCTAGGGACTTGTACAGTGGGGAGTCTTTACAGGGATCGGTTCTGGAGGGTGGGAGGTGCCAAGTGCGTGCGTGTCGAAGGCTGTACTGGGCCGTAACTTGAGCGGGGGTGTTGAGCAAGCGTATGTGTTGTGGGGCATATTGGTATTTTATGGAGTGAGCAAGAAGGGTGAGCTTCACTTTGCGGCGAGAGAACATTGTCGGCCATTTGAGCCGATGGAGCAGTGTTGAATGATCCAGAGGAGTGTAAAGGGGGAGACGGAGGCAGATTCTGGCCGCCTTGCGCTGGATTCGCTCAAGACGGTCAAGGGCTGCGATTGAGAGCGGGGTGACAGCAATGCATGCATATTCAATTATAGGCAGGATATACGTTTTGTAAATGAGAGAGAGTGATTTAGTGTGTAGAGTTGATTTGAGCCTAAAGAGAATATTAAAAGATTTGTGGTGATGTGGATGTTGACTGTCTTGTACATTGATATTGAAATCACCAACGACAATGAGAGTAGACTTTGGTGGTGAAGACTGAAGTGTGTCATCTGTCATTTCGGTGAGCTTCTGCCAGAAATTGACTGTCTGTGCAGGAGCGCGATATGCACAGATGACTGTCAGTGGATGTTGTGGTAGGGAAATGTGGACAGACAGCGCTTCAGTGTCATGGGTAAGACTAATCATTCTGCTCTTGAATTCGTCACGAACATAAAATGCATACTCCTCCGCCTTTCTTGCATGATCGGTCTAAGCGATGGAGGTCATATCTTATGGATTACGCTTGCCGCAGAGGGGCTGAGGGCTAGACCCACAGCTACAGGACACTTCAGATCCTGCCTCACTAGACCTTGTCTTTTAAAAGATTGCATTCAGTTTTGGCGGGGACAATGCCGCCGACACACGACCAGCAAAATCCTTAACTGTCTTTGACGCCATCACAAATGCAATCGATCAAGCAATCTTCGAAAAGCGTTTTTGGAGAAGGTCGCTTCGTGAAAAGCATTCGTTCACACCAAAGGCCGTACGTGCCAGGCACATGGAAACATGTCATTGTTGGCAGATTCTTCAATTTCTTGTTTACGTTCCACAAAGATATAACAGGCCTACTTGTCCGGAATGTCAAGGCTGCACGTGATTTGCGGCCCATATTTAGGGCCACATCGCCGAGACTATCCGGAACTGGACTCCTTTAGCTGCACCCGGCTTTCTCAACACACAAAATATATTGGGCCCGCAAGTCCGCCAATCGTACCCCGTCAGAAATACGAAATCCTTATTGGCCCTGTGCACTAACTCGTAGTACAGCTAGCAGAGCTGGTTTTGTAATTCCAGAATGCAGGCCTGCCATGCTCGGCCAGACTGTCGACGCCGGTCGCCAAATCGGAACTTTCCTGTCCGCGAAGTCCGCCAGTGGTGCCGGCAGAGGCGCCTACTATACCACACCGCCAGCCTCCTCTTTGTCGACGATAACACCTCCTGCTTGGACCACAACACTAGTAGGCGGCAAGCATTCATTTTCCAACCTCTGTCGTGTTGCATTGATCAAGTTACCGTTACTGTCCCAGAATACGTAAATCGGAGGAGAGCTGTCGCAGAATACGTATATCGGGGGAGAGCTGTCGCAGAATACGTATCTGCCGAGCCATATCTGCAGGTGAGTGATACATAAGGATGTCCGTTCCTAGACCTATCTCCTGTGTAAGACTCCTGTAAGTGCACTCGTAAGATCTTAAACATTTATTTAAAGTTGCGAATATGTTCCTCGAGTAGTGCTTATGTTTTACTCTTTAAAAATGTGGGCGCTGGGGGTGGGGGCGCCGATAAGTTTGGCGCAGTATGACTCTTTGAGGTGTTGTTTTTTTGGAATGGCGTCGATACAGACAAGTATCAGCTCTTGTTACTCTATTTAAACTTATACATATATCTCCAGAACACCTCCAACATTTTCACCTTTCACTGTCTTCAAGTCCAAGAAGACCAAACAAACTTAACATCAATGATCACGGTGTGCGTTTTTCTTCCCTCTTTTCCAACAAAGCTGCAATGCTATGGAATTGCCCTCCGCCTTCTCTTACCTCTATAACCAGCCTCCCCGAATTCAAGCATTCTCTCTATCAGCATTTTCGCCGATATATCCATTACACTGACGGTATCCCAACTCCTTAATTACCAGATTTTGTATGCCTCGATCTATTTCCTTAGCCTATCCTCGATCAACTGCTCCCTCTACATAAAGTTGCCATTTCATTCTTCTTGCAGGAGATCCCCTCGACAGGCCCAAAGCCTTAGGGAAACCCTTAAATATAATAAATACAAAAAATACATGAAATTTCTGCCATTTTTCAGTAAGAAAGCTTCTTGTAGAAGTGTGTCTTCCCTCGATTTTGAATCTTATCTATGCAGTCGACTATGCAGTCGACAATTTTGTGCATTTTGCAGTTGCAGAAGTATAGCACAGATTTGTGTGTATTCTGCATCGTGGTTCAAAAATGGAATATGTAGTCCGTGAATAAATCTGGAAACACACACACATAATTGAAGAAGGGCTGAGGCTTCCTCCAGAATGCGATACATTGCCCAATAGTATAAACTAGGGGTTACCGCAGTGATCACGGACTGAAACATATAAAAAACTATCTCTGTGAAATTCGGGTGGGATTTTGTGAATTTGATCGTAACGTAGATAAACGCAATACATAATATGTCAACTAACAAACAAACCAGTGAATAAGAAAAGAAAAGAAAAAGGACCAAGGAGCAACAAGTTATGCTATAATGTCCACTAACACCACCAGTTCCTAAAAAATCAGCTCATGCGACGAACAAAAAACATACATGAGAGGTTGTCTGGAAATATCGACCTTCGGGGATCCCCGTGTTTTGCGAGAAGATCAAGAACAAAATCAAGATAAGAAAAGTATTGGAAGGAGATCGCAGTCACTTGCCCTCAGGTGTCGGGCTAGAAGTGAGTCAAGTCTTGATTGTGTTTGAACAAGATAACACCAACACATTGCAGTGTGGACCAATGATCGTCTTACAGGCAACGAAGGGGGACCAGCAACAGTGAAAGCGGCGAAGAGTAGTTCGTCAGGGTGCGCACAGCACGTTGTCGACCTTGGCACCCTAGGCTAACAAGAAGTAACCTATTGCCTTCCCTGACGGGACACGGGAGTGTAATAGCAGTTCAGACTTATAAAAACATCTGTTTTCATGTTTTGAGGTGGAGGTGAGAATATACAGTTTGAAGTTGGCGGACAAAGTATCTACCACTAAACGAGCGAGGCACCACAGTGGGCTTGGTGACGGCTTGGAATAATCGCACTGTAGAAAGATTATTATTGTGGATTCCATTTGTCGGGCATGTTTGCTCTCAGTTTTGTTTCGTGCGTAATACGACTACGACTTTCCTGGACTCGGTCGCATGGGGGAAAATAAATGTAGGACTCGGTAGCCCAGCGATCCTCTATCATGTGATCATTGCTCTATATATGGTCAAATTGTTCAGAGACCACTATGCATGGTCACTCTATATGTGGTCAGTTGCAATTTGTCTTGTCTATATATGGTCACAAACATATGGCATGCAGCATACACATAATTATACACGTACATATGACAGTGGAAGTTCCGTATCGGAAAGGACTGGGAAGAAGTGGAGAGTTTAGGTATAAAACGGAGCATATTCATTCCATAACGTTCCGGAGATGACCAAAAAGGATTCATTTCATGTGTAGCTTGTCCGTGAATCCATATTTAGCCACATTTCAAATGTGGATAAATATGGATTTTGGACGTAGCATTCATTTTGTCCTAAAGGTGCCTCTACACCTATCGATAACAATAAGCTCGAAATCTGTATCGCACAAATATGGCGCTTTCTCTTCAAGGGGTCCTTCGAGCCGAATCTAGGGTGTGCTTGATTATTTATGATTATTCATCCTTTGGATGAGCACATGTTCAAGCACTCGGCTGGTCAAGGGTAGCAGGCAGAAGACGGGTGCGATGCAGAGTATGGATGCTGGTTCGGTCACAGGAGCATCACACACAGTACCGTCACTACGGTATTGACCGTACCACCTTTTGCTCCAGATACCCCGTGTATCAATAAAATACGCCCGTCTCGAGTCTAAATTTCCAATATTTTCGGCTCAGCCACCACTCCCCCACGAGTAAATTGTACTTCTGATGGCTGACCATACCACACTAAAATACCTTCCGACGCCCTTGGGTCATCTCACCTGCAAAGAGAAGAGAAGTTGCGAATTCAAATAAATACAAACAACAACAGCTAGTACAAGTACGGGGAAGGAGAAGCTCTGGAAGCAATGGCAGCCTAGCATGGCGAAGGCCTAAGTTGCATGCACAGAAGGCAGCCTAGCCTGGCGAAGGCCTAAGTTGCATGCACAGAAGACTGTCGCTGGGATTTGTCCACCCCCATTTATAGTTTCTGTTCAATATACCAGAACTCTATCATAGCCTTTGTCTCTTGTATCTGCCTCTTCTATCTCCTTTCCTGCTGCTTTCGTGACATGGCATGAGTTTATCTACTTCTGAAGTAGCTGTTCTGCTGCATAGAGTATAATTAGATATACTGTGTTGCTCAATAAAATCTGGTTGCATTAGTCCAGTTTGCGCCTTGCACCATTTCACAGCCCGCTGTTGGCAGGTGCAGGGCTACGCAATGCCCCACTGCATACTGGGTGACTTGATCAGTTTTCATTGAGCACCACTGTACATGTATTGTATTGTGTGTTGCTGTTTGTGACTTGCAGATTATCAAGCAAGATGGCCCGGCAACTTGGGTTGAAGGTACCCATCATCCTGATGATCATGTCCTTTCGTTATGGTGAGTTCAGTTTGGCTGTGCTTTGCAAGCGTTGGTGGGTTCCTGGTACATTGAAATCACGGCAGAATGACGATTATCGGAACAACTATGTGAATAATCAATATTCCGAAATTCCAGTTTCCATTGAATTGATTGGACGAAAGTGATTTTTTGCTTATACCTCCCCCCTCCCCCTCCCCCTCCCCCTCCCCCATCGAAAATCCCATTCAAGCGGTGCGCTATATGTTTTCCAACTTGTTGGATCGATAGAGTCATATTTATGAGCTAGAGTGTGTCTAGTTTGTGTGGAACTACCGAGGCCATGAAGGAATAGAGGAACACGAGGAAATGGACATGCCTTGTGTGATTACTTCCTTATCCGAATATTCCCATAATCCGAACCTTTTGAGACAGCCCAGAGGAGGCGTCAGTTAAACACACTGTCACTTAGCTTGAGCAGGCTGACGTTTGAAGACAACATTCAGCAGGCTGTGCTGGCATGATGACCATAATCTTTTTTATTTATATTTTTTTATTGTTATTTTTACTAGAGCCACGTAAAACCGTCACGTGTGAGCCATGAATAAGGGGAGTGGTGGCGTGGTCTGGGATGCTCTGCCGACCTTGGGTCTCGGCTTCATCACAACCAGGCGCGCCAATAGCAGATCTAGCTATGAACATAAGCCACTACCACCCTAGACATAACTCTCAAAGTTTCGTCAGTTTTTTTCATTTTCAACTCCAACTAGACTAGTTTTTAAAACAATCAGGCTATTCTGCACTCAAAATCTGAATCCAATTCTCGGCAATCGGGTTGATCGGCAACATGATGATTTTCGCGCCAGAGGTGAAGGATCTTGTAGCAATGTGCTGTTGGTTTTCTGAGCTGCAGTGCGGTGAGAATTCCGTGTCAGTCTGCTCATTGCGTATGCTTTGTAAAAGAATAATAATTATAATTCGGATACTGAGCCAGTAATACATGTAAAAAAGAGAAGAAAACACATGAAAATGGGTATGTAGTTGCTGCATACGCCTCATCCCTCTGGCAATTTCAACTCTCCAGTGCTCAGGATACTACCTTTGAACGGCCTACAGGAAAGAGTGGCACGTGTGATCCTGCGGCAGTATGGCGTGTACTCTCCTCAAACGGAGCCGAAAGCCTCTCTTTTCGTGCACCTCCAGTGGCCCAGCCTCGCATGGCGAGGACACATTCAGTGTCTTGTTGAGCTCCACCACCTCATCAATAGCCAGATGACGACCCTGGAGGACCTAGGCTACACGGTTTCAAACAGTGCTAGGCGCCCCCAACATCTACTCCCGCCTCCTAGAGCCAGCACACACACCCGTGCCACATTTCTCTTTGTCACCACTGCCACATGGAACTCCCTCCCGGCTGCCATTCGTACTGTATCCAGCCCCAAATGTTTTACCGCTCTTGTCCGCACACACTTTGCTATCACCCGTCATGAGCCCTCTGGTTTCATTCCACGTAGAGTAGCGATGTCATAGAGCACTGTGTTATATTTCTACCACCCCGCATCATTCTATTTCCTATTTTTACTTTCTCCTCAGCTTCTTGTTCATAAGCTGTTGACGGAGACTCTCTCGATGTAGGCTAAGGCCTGTGGAGAATTCATAAATACAAATACAAAATACAAATACAAACTCGACGAGGAGACAATAATTTTAATATGGCAAAAAGTAGGACGAGCTGAAGCGACATGTGGACTACTTTATTAACAATGTAAGCGATGGAGACGATGCAAGAAACAACCTAAAGGGTAAGGAAAAATACATGTAAGAAGAAAAAGGGCAATGGAAAAAAAAAGATGATTCGAACAAGTTTTCGTACAACACTCTTCAGGAATCACCGTTGTACTAAAGAACAAAATGAGAACAAAGGAAATAATATAGCAATCAAGGTAGGGTGACACGATACAATGACAGCACTAGAATATCGAGGTGCGATTTCTCACAAAAGTGTGCATCGCTGATGCAACCTATTTGGATTCCAGCGACGTAATGCAACTTGTCAAGGAGGTGAACGAGAATGAAGTCTCTCGAGTTGATCGTGTGCGTGTACGACGTAGTACCAAGGCCGTTCAACTCCGTGCCGTTGCAACAAGAGTAACGCGGATTCGTGTGCGAGTTGGTACGATCGACATCGGCGACGATGGATTCATCTCCAAATTACCCGAGTCGACTGTTGACACGATGGCGGTGCAAAGGAGGTCGTCGACTGACAGTTCCATTGCTGACTGGGTGGAACCATTGGTGCACATCAGAGCGTCCGACAACTCCACCTCGTACTGCGTGTCACGGAAGAGATCATGGGTGAATCCATCCTCACACGTATTCGAAGAGTAAACTTTGTGGTCTCTCATCCAATACCAGCTTGATGAAATCAGGACAACAAGAACTGAATTGTACTACCTTTCTCCTCCACTCCATTGCGATATTCACTGTTCGTTCCATTATTCTTTGTAATGACATGTATCGTATCTATCAAGAACTGACCTTTCTGACGTGTGTGCGAGCAGGACCATTTTTGAAAAATTGCATGGGGAGGTGGGGTAGGTCACGGAAAAAACTTCATGATAAACACCATATTCAACATTCTACATTTTATACCCACTCCCATCCGGGGCAAGGTGGCCCAAAAAAGTGAGATTCAAACCCACATGTGCACAACACATATTTTCAATAATACCCCATTTTTTGGGGTCAGGGCACCCCTGGCACATATTTTTATCCGCAAAAAAACCGGGCCAAAAATAATTTTCACCGCAAAAATGGGGTACTATTAGTACCCCATTTTTCAATAATACCCCATTTTTTGGGACCCGGGCGCCCCCTGTCCCAGAACCCCCTGTCCCAGAACCCGCTGTCCCAGAACCCGCTCGTTGCCTACTACCTCGCTGTCCCGTCTATCTATGTTTGCCATGGAAGGGGCAGGAATCGATCAAAGTGTGTCACGCAGTCAAGTCTATCGTCCGTCGTACTTATTATGCAGTACATTTTGTGCCAGTCTTCACAACAATGCGTGCGTTCACGGTGCGGAAGGACGTCCTACCAACCCTCCACCTCAGTCATGTTATCTACAACTTCGAATGCCGACATTGTGCTAGTCGGTATGTTGGTAGGACTGTTCAGCACCTGAACGCACGTATCAAACAACACACTCCACTTCACATCCTTCCACCCAGTGCGCAATCTGAGAGGCCCAAACGCGGGAGGCCTAGGAAAAACCCATCACCTAGACGGCAGGATAGTTCCCTGCCGCTGTCTGCCGCTCCCCCTCTGACATCTGTGTTGGACGGGCTGGAGCTTGGCAGCTCTTTGGAGGTGCGTGCGGAACCGCCACTGGTGCAGCCCTCGGGTGTGCCTAAGTCTGTGCCTCTGGGTGCTTTGCATGGGGCTGTGCCTCGAGTGGTGACAGCACCTCTGCCTCCCCCTGACCCTCCTCCTTCGAGGTCTGTGTTGGTGGGGAGCACCCGCGGCGGTCGATTTGTCCCACCGGAACCAGAGCTGGATTCAACAGAAAGACCAACAACCATGGCTGCAACAACAACACCAGCTTCACATCCAACAACAACACCAGGTTCACATCCAACAACAACAACAACTAATCCACAAAACAAAGCAGCAAATGACAGACCACGGAGATCTACAGCAGATTACAACCGGACCTATGAATTCACGGTAAAAATACAAAGGAAACAATCAGAAAGGACGACGACTGACGTGAAGGCAACGGCATTCAGGGTTGGCGTGGGTGGTGAAGGTGAGACGCAGGACGATGCAAGTGAGGAGGAGAGTCAAACCGCGGTGGATGACGGGGCAGGTTCTGATTCGGACAGTGAGGGAGAAGGTGAGCTGAGTGAGGGTGAGAGGGAGTGTGAGGGTGTGCGCGTGAGTCGAGATTGTGTGCGTCCGTCTCGTAATAACAAGTCTTCAGTATACAATCATTTGGTTTCTAGTACTGACTGTTGTCGTACTTATTCTGATTCCTGTTTTTCTGTTTTGTGCCGTGCTCGTCATGGTTATCTTTTGCAGTTACAAGTTTTGGAAGCTGTTTGTCAGCGCATTCATAAGCCGAATTTGTGTGTCCAGAAAGATAGTGTTATTACCCTAAAATTGTTCAAATAATGTTCTGTTGTGTAGTGTGGCAACGTTGTTGCCACTTGTGCCTAAATGTGTTTTGTCACCTTCTTGTTTATTATTGTTATTATTATCATTCGTTCTCACTTTTTTGTTTTTTGTTGCTGATACACACTTGTCACGCTTAGTTCTTACTTGTATACCCTTGTTTTCTGCACACTTTTGTGAGAAATCGCACCTCGATATTCTAGTGCTGTCATTGTATCGTGTCACCCTACCTTGATTGCTATATTATTTCCTTTGTTCTCATTTTGTTCTTTAGTACAACGGTGATTCCTGAAGAGTGTTGTACGAAAACTTGTTCGAATCATCTTTTTTTTTTCCATTGCCCTTTTTCTTCTTACATGTATTTTTCCTTACCCTTTAGGTTGTTTCTTGCATCGTCTCCATCGCTTACATTGTTAATAAAGTAGTCCACATGTCGCTTCAGCTCGTCCTACTTATTGCCATAACAAATACAAACCTTATTATTTACTAAACGTGCATTGTGTGTGCATTGTGTGCTCTTCTGTGTTGTTCAGCATTTGCGGACAGGACAGTTACAAAACGTAAGTGAATATAGTCTTACATACACTCAAATGGTTCTGTTCACACCGCTTGTTCTTTTCCCATATTTGGCCTATTTAAGCGAACTGTTTCCTCGCACGTTGCATTTGAGTGAACTAATTTTCTGTAGCACAACCAGTGCATAGCCCTACTGGTGGAAAAATCGTATTTCAGGTTATTCCATACCTGATATTATTTTAATTTTATTTTCATTATTGTATTGGTTTGGTGAGACTCCCATGATAGGTATCCATTTACCTCTGGAGAATCCGTAAATAAACAAACTGAACTGAGCTGAACTGATATCAAACTAGCAGTAATGGCCAATATCATGATTCAATGGCCTGGAGACCAAGGAAAGTTTCGGGTCTTTTGAGTTCTCTACTGTAAGCAATGAGCACTCCTTTATTTTGCAATGCTGTTCAATGAAATCCGAGCGTGTGGATCCAGTTCGTGCTCTGCGCCATTTCACACCCCTGTGTTTGTAGATCTAGGTATGTGTAGCGGCCAGTGTGGCATTGACTTGCGTTATTGGATTTCATTGAACAGCACAATATGTTTGTCAAATGGAAGGTTGTACAGGCTTTTCACAATTTATTTTATATTTTATTTTTATCACATTGCACATACCTACGGAAGAAGGGGAGACAAAACGAGGACGAAACAAAAAAGATAACAATGGGTGTGTAGGCGCTACATGAGCTGCGCTGGTGAGATGCAGTGGACTCCCCCGACCAAGGGTCTCGGGATCGGCGTACACAGCAAGCACCATGGGAGAGGGGGGGGGGGCGAGAGGAATAGCGGAGAGAGAGAGAGAGAGAGAGAGAGAGAGAGAGAGAGAGAGAGAGAGAGAGAGAGAGAGAGAGAGAGTGAGAGAGAGTAGAGAGAGAGAGAGAAAGTGAGAGAGAGAGAGACAGAGAGAGACAGAGAGAGGGAGAGAGAGTGCACAAGAAAGAAGAGAGAGAGAGAGAGAGAGAGAGAGAAAGAGAAAGATGTTCGCTGATTTCTCAGTGGCAGCCATGATCCAGTCATGTGTCAAGCTAGGCATAAAGCATGAACTCAAACACGACTAGCTAACTTTGTCTAATTAGTCAATGTCTGTGACAACCAAAAATCAAGTGGCATGGCCTAGTTTCCAGTATCCCTCCAATGTGGAATGTTCTACAGGCATAACTGACAGAGTGGATGAAAGAGGTCCACCAAGGGATTGAAAAAGGGATTGGAAAGGCCAATGTTTGAGTGATATCGGAATTTGGCCGTGCCTATCCAATCATAATAGTTATGTATGGTTGTTATAGACAAGGTTCGATTCACTAAATTCTGTTTTTTTGTGGTCTTGTTTTGGTGCAGAGTCGCTTTTTGCATGTAAGTTACTGTATGTTTGTTCCCATCTTGTTTTTGATTCTTTCCTGGCCAATGTAATTAGGCTGTGAGAGGCTGTGCGCATGTGTGCATATAATGCTGGATCAGTACTATTGGGTCCGGCTTGCCAAGGAGAAAAACAAGCTTCCCCACAAGTAAATAACATACACATTGCGAAATCCACTCACATACCGACTCACCTGTTAACCTATCCTGAATACCGACCCGGAGCTAGCTCATGGAAGGCGGTACCACCCCAGACCTGCCACACTGCCGATCATTACCCTGAGCCGGAACACAAACAATATTACTTTATCATTTTGGTCATCTTTTGTATTTTCATGACATGATTGTATCGGTTTATTAATATTGCCCGTACAAGAGGCTGCGCAAGTCTGAAAAAAAATTATTACCCTATGTCCAATGCCAGTATATTGGGAGGATGGGCCTTTAGCTCTATATGCTACATCGGATCAGGTTACTTTGTTAGGTACATATATATAGACAGCACCATAGTCCTCACTGGACAGCAAGAACACTGAAGGAGGGAGATGGGGGGGGGGGGGGCTCTAGCAAAGGGGTGTACGAGGATAGCTATAAGCCCGACGTGCCTGTGGCACCGGCCCTGAAATACGTTCCACTGCAGACAGCTACCTTTTAATCGCTCTAAGGCCACACCAAGTTCATTCTATGTTTCGGGTCGGACATTTTCTGGAAAACGCACGCGGGCGAGCGGAAAAAACAAAAACAGAGGAAAACAAAACTCCATTCTATGTGTACTGAGCCATGTTGACATAGAATAGCACTACTAAACTGTCACTAATATCCAAAATGACAACAAGTCGCCACAGGACAGCTGGCAGACTGGGCTGGAGCGATACAATAACAAATTTCATGGATGGCTCCTACTGCACTTTGACATGAGACGAGTGGAATTCCGCTCCATCTATTATCAAGGTTTCGAAAAGGTACGCGCGCCGTAACGAGAAACATAGAAAATAACTTGGTGTGGCCTAATACTGTCATAAAATGATAGTTGGTCTTGCTCTCGTTTGCTCTTGCCTGTATGTCACCTGAAGAAATGGCAGGGGGTAAGGGGTGGCCTAAGGCCCTCTAGAGTGGTGTGAGTTGCCAGTATGATGCAAGCCAGATATTGATTGATCTTAGAAGGATAGATTTACCATCACTGTGGATAAGAGTCATACTGTAGCTCAGTTGGTCAGAGCATTGCTCACAAATAGCAAGGTCCCTGGTTCGAGTTCCGGGTGGTGTGAACAATAATTTTTCTTCCTTTCGTAACTGGCTGGAAAGTGTTGAGTTTCGGAGAGCAGAAAAAACTAAAGAGCAGTACGAGGCAAGTAGCCTCCAATTTCCTAAGAAAATAAAACCTGGTGTAAGCGACCTCTCTTAACGACCCTCTTTCCATACACACACACTGTGGGACCTGGTTTTAAAGACCACCTGGCTTTAATGACCGCTTTTGCTTGCACCGTGGGGTGGCCGCTTAATTACACCAGGTCCGTTTTTCTCCGAAAAAAATTCTTCCCAAATTCTTCCAAATTTGAAAGAGCATCGAAAGGTTTGGCGAATTGTTAAACTACTATGTTGTTTGGACAAGGAGGACAAATTCCATCTGCCAGTGGAGAGGGCTCAACACCATAATGTGGGGCACTATTACACACAAAAGGCAGTCGCCTGACGATTGTATTGAGCAAGCAACCCTGAGTTGTGACAAATATGTAAACCTCCGTTATGCCTTTTGTGTGTTGTCTGCACATGCACCTAGAGGTCGGGGTCGAAAATGAATTTTACTCACTTTACGTTTTAGAAAAGAAAAAGGATCAAGGAACTAAAAAGTAAACGTGGGGAGGCTTCCTGCAGTTTCATAAACAGCCCACACGCTCTGTTCCATAACCACTGCAAAGAAATGATTCAACTCATTTCACAATAATTATTACAACTTTTCGGCAAATTGCCTTCACCAGGTTCACAAGGAAGTAAAAGTTACACTCTAATTGCCACTGACACCACCAGTCACTTGACTGGCAGCCAGTTAGTTGTAGAACGTCAGTACCGTCGGGCAGTGTCGTGCAATGTTATCGCATGAGCTGATTGTCAAGGAACTGGTGCTGTTAGTGGCCATTATAGCATAACGTGTAGTTCCTTGGTCCTTTTTCTTTACTATAAATTAATCATTGGCTTTCCAGTCGAGTATATACTCACTTTACTAATCTTCTTTTCTGTTGGTACAGTCGATACATATTGTCAGTCGCCAACTTCTAATAGGTGGAACAAGGTGATGGTATTCAACCAACCTCGAGAGATGTTGCTTGGCCAGGCCATCATGCATTGTGCTAGAATCAACAAACGACTGACGGATTCCTATGATTGCAGGGATACTTGGCGGAATACCTACAACGCCAGGGCTTACTGGATGAGACCGAAATCAACTTCGAAGTTCTTTGATAGCAACAATATCGATTGGTATAAAATGCTGACTCCTAAACGAGCAGTTGTGTGCGAAGGCGATCTTGAAACGCCCGAGCCAGAGACTCTGAAATCAGGTTTGTTTCCTTGCCCATTGTCAGTTTCGATCAAATTTCCAGTTAAACAAACCCATGATAGAACATAGTATTCGCTAATTTGGCACACGTGGTCCGCGTCATCAATATTGTCGCTTTTTTTTCGACAATTTGAACTTAGGCTTTGGACAACAAAACGTGCACTTGAGGTGATACAACTTTGTACGATTGAAGTAAGGTATAGAATGACAGCTAGCCATGAGGAATGTATTGTCCAGGGAAGAGTTCATAATGTTTTTGGTCCTGCTCGACGCTACTCTCGGCGCTGGTGACACATAGTTTTGCCCGGGATTGAGTCTCTCGCTTTCGCAAGCTCATCTCTCTTCCTCTTCGCTGCCTAGCTATTTTCTAACGGGAAATGGATCGTAATGGTCGCCTACTCTATAAGACTTTCCGTAGGCAGCACGACTACCTGTGTGGTTCAAATCAGTCGCAAGAATTTAGTTTGAGCAATGATACGTGAAGTGCTTGTAGATCTCCACGATGCGCTGGATACTCAGAGCGTTGTGCTGTAGATGAAGGAGCTGCGATCTCAGCTTGGCGAGCGATCCCCGACGTAAACGATCTCGGCCTTTTTGCAAAATGAAACTGATTCAGAGTAGCCGATTATTTTCTTGTGGGTCGCGCTGTTCCTGCCTGTGGGCTGTGACAAGAAGTTCTATTTTTGATGCAGTGTGGTATCAATCAGAATCACCCACCCGTCGCTCTCGAAATCCCCTCGAAATCTAGCTAGGACCTTCAATCACTTTTAAGCTAGCTTACTAACCTTAAGTAGGATGAATTGGTCTGCCAAGTGAGCATTGTCGGTATAAAAACCAAGCTGAAAGGTAAGCGACAATATTGGTGACGTGGACCAAGTAGTCAACCTTCGAACAGGTAGCTGTTTGGATTTTATTAGATCTCGTCAGCAGAGCTCAGAACTACTGGATTAACCGATTGCAATATTGTCTAATGAATGATAAGGCACAAGCTCATAGCATCAACGTCAGAGAGCTCTGACTGCGATCAACACAGCGAACGGTTCGCATCTGGGGACAGGGATTGATGTTGGATAGAGTAGTGTGACATTAGCTGAAAACAGAATTGAACTAGTACGACTAAGAATAATGTGTCTGGGTGTGTGTGTGTAGCTGTATATGTGTTTTGTGTGTGTGTGTGTGTGTGTGTGTGTGTGTGTGTAGCTGTATATGTGTACATGTGTATGTGTTTGTGTGTGTGTGTGTGTGTGTGTGTGTGTGTGTGTGTGTGTTGATTAATGTACATGTATATCACGAAGAGTAGGGCTTCCTGAAATAAGACGACACCGTCTGTAGGGTTCCCTATTAAAATAATAAATACTATTACTTCGAGAAGTACTACTAGAGTGCAGGTGCAGTGGCGGAAGCGCATATTGAATAAGTGGATATTTTGCATGGTGCTCATTTTCCGTGTTAGTTGTACAATTGTCTTTGTTTTGCTTTTTCTCATTTTTCCCAAATAAATAATTGTTGTGTTTGGTGTAAAAACCCTAGAGTGTAGGTGCTCGGCGAGATCTTTGTGGTACTCCGCTGCTAATGAGATGCGCAGATGAAACACCCTGTTCAATCTTCCCCTCTTTATCTTCATGTTTTTTTAAGATAAGTTTTAATCCACCATTTCACCGAAGGGTTATCCATCAATCTGGTTAGCTGGGTAAAAACTTAAAAGTGTAGGATCGTGGATTGGCGTGAAGTCCACAGTATGACGACTTGAGGCTTGGAGCGAATGATTCCAGCACCCCCCCCCCCCCCCCTCGTCCGCAACCATCGGATTCTGCAAACACGGGAAACCAGAACTCCTGCACCTCCATAATCCCCACCTCTGGAACGCAGGGAATCCTGATTCCGAGCGCTTACTGCTGGCTTTTGCTGTGGTTGCAGAGGATTTCCAATGTCCATCAAGCAATACAAGACTTCGGTACTTTGACATCAAGTTGCCCTATTGGGAAGCCGTAGCCGTGTGTGCCAAGGTGAACGGAGATATACCTCTGAAGACGTCGTGCCCAATCAGGTTTATGGAAGACATTGGCCACAGAGTGGGTACGAAGCCCATAACATGGTTGCAACATGGTGGCGAATCCCTTGAGGTTGGAATTGGATCCAATGGTGCCAAACACAACATAGCTACTTTAACCCTGACGACCGAACTCAAGGTTGTGTGTGAATTGCCTAAACGTGAGTATTGGTATTATTATACGCATTTCCGCGGCAGCGTCAACCAAGCAATTATGCTTGATCCACACGTTCGCTTATAATGCTGTAGAAATCGCATAAAAAAGCTGCATTGAAAACGCCGCTAAGGGCCATAAAGTGAAGATACGGATACCAGCTGGAAGAGTGAACTCATTCAAATCCACTGTCAACTCTAAAGTGACAAAACAATTGGATTTACTTTTTTTTCATTGCAGCTCTTCAATTGCTTTTTTTTCAATTGCGAATAGTTCCGATGGACCTGACTGTTCTTCGGGTCCATCGGAACTATTCTGCTTAAAGTATGTACACTCGATCTGCGGACAACACTGCTCTGTCCTTCGTGGGCTCATCAGCGCAACGCGGAGAAAATGAGACCAAACCTCATGATAACAAAAGTACATAACCAAGAGTGTGCAACTCGACGATCCCCCAGCCCACGGGGAAGTTTTTTTTATGACATCAGTCTTTGGCGGCTGTTTGGCTCACTGATGCCATCATACGTAGCCAGAGATCAAAGTACACATAATTTGTACATTACAGCTACGCTAGTCGAAGCAGAACAACGGACGATAGATCGTAAGGATTATCGAAAGACTTTATATGTTATAGGCCTGTTGAGGGCATCAGTTTGGAAAGTAAAATGAGTTGGTACGCCATCAGTGTAGGCAGTTCATCGGCGATGCTGCTGGCACAGAGCTTGCTTGGCATCCCGGAAACATGTTGTGGATGTCACAGGCGTGGGGATCATAATTCAAACTATTTTGGAGTAGAACACACAAGCAAATGGGCAGAACTTAGCATTCTGTGTAATGTCTGAGATTTCACATTCATTGGCAGTCGTTTGACGAGCCAGGAAATGTTGAATAAATACAAATGCAAACACAAGAGCATTAGCGATGGTCTACCTTTGAGCCGTGTTGGGTAGAGTGTAAGTCATTAATTTCCATTTTCATTCTTTTCCTGTGTACGTTTTCATTTTTAACAGAACTGCAATGCCACTCTGAACCGACGACAATCATCCGGTACTTTCCCGTCAAAAAATCCATTTCTGGAGCGGTGCAGTTGTGTAGGTTGTTCAATGGAGAGATCCCAACAACGACCCAATGCGTGAGAGAGAACTTTCCAACCACTGGTGCATCCGTTGCTTGGTTGAGAGATTCTAAGGGAACTAGGGGACGCTATCATTTGGCAACTGACTCGCTTTTCTACGACATTTCATATCGACCCGAACACAAACACAGCGTTGTGTGTAGAATTTCACAAGGTAAGGATCACCATGTCTTCTTCCGTCAAAAGCCAAAAAAACACAAAACACCCGCCATGTGCATGTGGGTTTGTACCTGTGAGTCCATGTGTTCGCTTGCGTGAGTAACTGTGTGTGTGTGTGTGTGTGTGTGTGTGTGTGTGTGTGTGTATGTGTATGTTTACCAATTCAATCGGAAGCCATTCATGAGTGAAGAGGAGGCTGAGCGTGTGGCTACTGTATGTGCTGAGTACTGTGCTAGTCTTGAATCTCGTTTAGCCACGAATGACCGCGCCTCGTCTGTGGACTGTAAGTGGAGTACCGTGAAGTCGGCTGTTGTTGACGCGGCGGAGCAGGTGGTTGGTCGGGACAAGCGGCGGATGCCAGATTGGTTCCGTGACAATGCCCTTGTATTGGAGCCTCTACTGGAGTCTCGTAATACCCTGTATAGCCAATGGCTGAGAAGCGGCAGGGACTCTGATCACCGGGCGTTCAAAGAAGCGCGTGGCCGGGCTCGTACTGGTATCCGGAAGGCAAAAACAACTTGGTTGATGGACAAAGCGGCGGTGGTGCACCGTGGACATTTCAGTAGCAAAGCTGTCTGGTCTGCCATTCGCGACATGCAACGCTGCTTTGGGGGCTTGCAACCCCTGTCTGTCCAATCCATCCGCAATGCCGATGGAGTTCTTTGCGAATCTGTTCAGGAGCAGCAGGGCACATGGCATGGGCATTTCTCGGGTGTCTTGAATGTCTGCAGTGTGTACGATCCGCATGTCTTCCAACTTATCCCTCAGCGTGAGGTCGAGGACTCCCTCTCACTGCCACCATCGGAGGATGAGCTGACCCAGGCAATTAGACACCTACTGAATGGCAAAGCTGGTGGTATGTCACAGATTGTGCCGGAGCTGCTGAAGGTTGGTGTGCCTGTCCTCCATCCACTCCTCCTGGACCTACTCCAATCTGTCTGGTTGGGGGGTGCGTGCCCCAGGACTGGCGCGATGCACTGCTGGTACCGATTCCAAAGAAGGGCGACCTCTCTCGCTGCGATAATTGGCGAGGGATCGCATTGCTGGAGGTTGTCAGCAAGTTGGCTGCTCGGATCATGCAAAACTGATTGCAATGTATTGCTGAGGCGGAGCTGCCTGAATCCCAATGCGGGTTTCGGCGGCACCATGGTTGTGCGGACGCCATCTTCTCTGTCCGTCAACTTGGTGAGAAGTCGTACGAACATCGATCGAAGCTCTTCTGCGTATTTGTGGATCTCCGCAAAGCGTACGACTCTGTCCCTCGCGAAGCTCTTTGGCAGGCATTGCTGCGGCTGGGTGTGCCGCCCTCGACTGTGGCCATCATCAAATCATTCCATACAGACATGTCAGCTTGCGTTCGCGTTGCCGGTGGTTGCACGGATCCGATATCTGTCAAGAATGGGCTGCGCCAAGGGTGCGTGATGGCACCTGTACTATTTAACTTGTACTTCGGCTTAGTTATTGAGCGTTGGCGATCCCTTCTCGTGGAGCGTGGAATAGAGTCTGGTGTGGACTTCAGCTTCACAATTGATGGCCAGCTGTTCCCTCGTGTCACTAGGCGTCGTCCCCACTCCGAGTCCGGCCATGCTGATGACTTCAAGTTTGCGGATGATGCTGTACTGCTCGCTACAACTCGCAACGGAGCCGATCAATCTCTGTCTGCCTTTTGTGAGGTCGCATCCAGCTTGGGTCTCACAGTGAGCATGACCAAGACCAAGCTTCTCGTTGCAGGTTTCGGAGTTTGCCCTGCTGATTGCTCTGATTTGGTCATTGGCAGTGATAGGGTTGAAGCAGTCACCTCATTCCCCTATCTTGGTTCCACCATCACTCCAGACTCGCGGTCGCAAGCGGACATTCGGAGCCGTCTAGCAAAGGGTGCAGGGGCCTTTGGTAGTCTTCGGCGCATCCTACATGACCGGAGCCTGAACCTCCCTACTAGGCGCCACCTGTATGTCGTTTGCGAACTGTCAAAGGTTCTGTATGGTTCAGAGTGCTGGACGCCGTTGAAGGCAGATTTAGATAGAATGGACCGGTTTCATCATGCCAACATTCGCTCCATCCTTGGTGTATCGCGAGGCCGACAGTGGGAACAGCGCATCTCTTCACAGGAACTGCGAGCACAGTGGGGTGATCCCACACCATTGTCACGCATGGTGCAGCAGAGACGGTTGGAGTGGCTTGGGCACCTGGCTCGTCTTGATGACACCAGAGTACCGAAGCAGTTGCTGTTTGCCTGTCTCCCTCAGCCTCGGCCATTCTGTGGACCTCGTTGTCGTTGGAAGGACACCATTCACACGGACCTATCCGTGGCTGGAGTGCGTAACTGGTTGGAGTTGGCAAGCGATTGTGGAGAGTGGCGTGGAGTGGTGACAGCAGCAGGTGAGGACAAGGAACCTGCCCCGAAGAGCATCGAGTGCCCAAGCTGCAACCGTCTGTTCCGCCGTAGTTCCGACATGGCCCGGCACAAGTGTTCAGCAATCCGTCAGCTCCCGGTATCGGAGCAGCCTGGATCAGTACAGTGTCCAACATGCAACCGATGGCTACGTAGCAGAGGAGGCTTTGCGGTGCATAAGTGTCGGCTAGGCGATGTCGACCAGCCGCCGGCCCCTGCCCCTGCTCCTCTTGTTGTTCCGGGTGTAACTTGCACCAACTGTCAGCGTTCATTTAAATCGGCTGCGGGTCTCAAGCGTCACCATTGTGGAACCTGTCCAAAGCGCTCTACTGTGGCTGAACGCCAACAATTCAAGTTTCACTGCCAAGTTTGCCACAACCGACGGTTCCGGAGGCGGCAAGATCTGGAACACCACTTGGAGCATTGCCTTCCTCCCCCTTAACCTCTCTGACAGTACATACCATCTGGGAGCGGCGTGGCCAAATCCTGGCAGCTGTCAATAGTAGTAGTAGTAGTATGTGTATGTGTGTGTGTGTGTGTGTGTGCGTGCGTGCGTGCATGCGTGCGTGGGTGTGCGTGCGTGCGTGCGTGTGTGTGTATGTGTGTGTATGTGTGTATGTGTGTGTGTTTGTGTGTGTGTGTGTGTGTGTGTGTGTGTTTGTGTGTGTGCGTGCGTGCATGCGTGTGTGTGTGTGTGAATTTTATCTGTGGACAGATTGACACCCGCAAAAAATGGCAAAATTAAAGAACGAAGTAGCGGTGAGGCATCCTGCAGCTTCATAACTCGAAGAGAATTGGTGAGCACACATGCTCATTCCCTGGGCATTGCAAATTCACAACTCATTTCATTTCACAGAATCATTTTCAACGTTTCGGCAAATTGCCATCATCAGGATATTGTATCCTGATGATGGCAATTTGCCAAAACGTTGAAACGAAACGTTGAAAATGATTCTGTGAAATGAAATGAGTTGTGAATTTGCAGTGCCCAGGGAATGAGCATGTGTGCTCACCAATTCTCTTGAAATTAAAGAAGCCAAGAAAAAAACCCTGCGCGATTTGAATTGCGATGTCTACGACTTTTTTGGGATGGGATCTGCAGGGAAACTGACATCCTGGTTAGCGTGACAGTTACGTGTGCATGGCAGAGGAGTATAGGAACGCCATGCTGAGACAGAACCGTGTTTTCGATGCAATGCGAGAGAAGTTTTGGTTGTTCCGGTGTGGTGCTGGGAATCCTGAAGCTGGGAATCCCTTGTTCTACCAGCACGATGGTGCAAGTCCCCAAACCACCAAGGCAAACCAGCAGCATTGGGTACGATATGGTGCCACACCTACTCATGGACAGACACACTACACACACATTTGTTCTCCTTGATATTCGTACTTTGTACTTCTTGAGGCAACGAACTTAAATAGTGAAAACCAAACACTCACTCATTGACAGACGCACTACACACTCACTCATTGACAGACACACTACACACTCACCGAGTCATTGACAGACACACTACACACTCACTCATTGACAGACACACAATACTCTCACTCATTGACAGACATACTACACACTCACTCATTGACAGACACACAATACCCTCACTCATTGACAGACATACTACACACTCACTCATTGACAGACACACTACACACTCACTCATGGACAGACACACAATACTCTCACTCATTGACAGACATACTACACACTCACTCATTGACAGACACACTACACACTCACTCATGGACAGACACACTACAAACTCAGCCTTACCCATGACCACCTCCGTACAATACACTCAAGCTACATGTTATGTATGCTCTGATCCATTGTGCAGGGAGCAGCCACCTGTGCTTGAGGACAAGAACGAACATCTTTGTGTACGCCAATCTAGCTACGGTAACACAGGCCGAGGAGCAATGCCGAAGTCTAGGACTCTCTTTTGAGCTCTTCAAAGATACAACTCCTGGGAAGAAACGCTACGGTGGCTGGTATCGGCACCCATAACGATGCCACATGCGCCTCTCTACGAGCCGTCGGAGGCTCCAAAAGGGCTTCGGTTTTTCAAGGGGAAGCGTCTCGGCTGCTTGATCGAGAGAGGGATGGGAGGAAACGTTCAGTATTGTTTTGAGACGGAATAAGAATTAAATTTACGCTGTCGTGTTGGCCATAGATCAGAATTGAGAACAGTGCTGGAGAGAAATAGCCTCATTTAGTGTTGATGTTGGTGGTGAAAGTACACCTGTCCTGCAGCTAGTCGGACGAGGCAGTCCGAAAGATTTCCCCGTTGTCTGGTTACGCGGTGCAGCACGCGGCTCCCCCTCCCCTTCCCTGCTGTCAGGCCGGAGACTGAGTAGGAACATGGATGGTACCGGCGGTAGAATGCTGTTCCGTGCCCTGGTCGTGGCCGTGTTGTGCGTGTCGCTGGGAGAGTGCACCGCTTACCGTAAGTTTCTCTCGCGCGGGAGTATGGTGTGTGCTTGCGTGTGCGTGGCCCCTGGATCTGAACCACAAAGACTTTAAGTCACAGTTGAACACGTATTATTATGGCACCCATTTTGATATTCCAGGGGATGGCCCACGCCTGGTAAAGAGAATAAATAGAGAAAAGGATCCGACTGTGATGCGATCGTACGATGAAAATAAAGAACATTGACAAATTAAAAGAAAAAAAACTTTTTATAATTAATTATAGAGATGAATTATTGTTACAGTACCGTAGAGTGACGAATATCCGCAGCCCTCCGAGTGCACATCCGTGTCCCGCATGAGGTTGAGAGCGCTCACACATGAACATACAGGACTGTCTGTACTGTGCGCATCGCGTATACGGCGGACGGGTGCAGTAACTTAAGATGACTATACAGACTACAGGGGAACAATATTGAAGTTAGTTTTTTCCAATTGAAAACATGGACAACGGTTGGGAACATGTTAGGTATTCGACTCCACCAACTAGACCAGATCTGAACAGTCAGACTTACACGAGCCAGGATTCCATGGAGCCTTGGAACGAGTAGCTTGTGTGCGGCTCGATGGTGCCCGCCTTCCTCTCTTTGGAATTATCACTAAGTACATGACATCATCCGTGAACCTATCGAGCAGTGCTCAAGCTGACTTTCATGCCATGGAATGTGTCAGTACTCTTTGTCAGTTTTGTGCTAGATTGTGCACGTCTGACTGTTCAAAATCTAGTCTAGTTATCCAAACCTCTCTTCATTGCAATGCGACTAACAGTTACAGCCGTATTGTACAGAGTTGTGTGTGTACATGGTATGTGTGTGTACATGGTGTGTGTGTGTACATGGTGTGTGTGTGTGTGTGTGTGTGTGTGTGTGTGTGTGTGTGTGTGTGTGTGTGTGTGTGCGTGTGTGTGTGTGTATGTGTGTGTGTGTGTGTCACGTGTGTGTGTGTGCGTGTGTGTGTGTGTGTGTGTGTGTGTGTGTGCACGTGTGTGTGTGCGTGTGTGTGTGTGTGTGTGTGCAGGGGGGGGGGGCAGCAACTTTGGGTGTGGAGTCAGATGGATGCGAGCCATGTACTCAATCTAACCCGTCTCTACCCAATTCTGTAGACGGCTAGCTGTTTCGGCCATCTAGGCCTCAGCAGTACAGCTACGAGCTTTAAGTAAGCTGAAACACCGGCCATGGTGCAAAGGAGACATCACCGACATTAAGAGAGAGAGAGATTGATTTGTGTCTCGTGTCCGTACCATCTACGCCAACACCCGCTTTGAACCCGCTGGTTTCATTCCTTCCAGAGTTTCTGTAACATCGTAACGAATGTTATGGCTGATTTCTACAGTACGCATTTGTTATAACCCTTCCTCTTCTCAATCTATGTTATAATTTTGCAGATATATTCCCAGTAAGCCATGAAGGGAGACCCCCTCGACTTAGGCCTCGGCCTTTGGAGAATCCATAAATAAATAAATAAAGATAGCTGCATCTAGGCTTCATCAATACGGCTGCGAGCTTTAAGTAAGCTGAAACACCGGCCAAGGTGCAAAGGAGACATCACCGACATTAAGTTAGCTCCATCTAGGCCTCATCAATATGGCTACGAGCTTTAAGTAAGCTGAAACACCGGCCAAGGTGCAAAGGAGACATCGCCGACATTAAGATAGCTCGTCGCACTAGCTCCAGAGTGCCCCTACTGCAGAAAGTAGCGAGCGACTCTGTGCTGAGTTAAATCTAACGTACAGTAAAACCTGTCAAGGCGACCACCTGTCCTGGAAGACCACTCGAATAAGGCGACCACCTGTCCCGGAAGACCACTCGAAAAAGGCGACCACCTGTCCTGGAAGACCACTCGAATAAGGCGACCACCTGTCCTGGAAGACCACTCGAATAAGGCGACCACCTGTCCTGGAAGACCACTCGAATAAGGCGACCACCTGTCCTGGAAGACCACTCGAATAAGGCGACCACCTGTCCTGGAAGACCACTCGAATAAGGCGACCACCTGTCCCGGAAGACCACTCGAATAAGGCGACCACCTGTCCTGGAAGACCACTCGAATAAGGCGACCACCTGTCCTGGAAGACCACTCGAATAAGGCGACCACCTGTCCTGGAAGACCACTCGAATAAGGCGACCACCTGTCCTGGAAGACCACTCGAATAAGGCGACCACCTGTCCTGGAAGACCACTCGAATAAGGCGACCACCTGTCCTGGAAGACCACTCGAATAAGGCGACCACCTGTCCTGGAAGACCACTCGAATAAGGCGACCACCTGTCCCGGAAGACCACTCGAATAAGGCGACCACCTGTCCTGGAAGACCACTCGAATAAGGCGACCACCTGTCCCGGAAGACCACTCGAATAAGGCGACCACCTGTCCTGGAAGACCACTCGAATAAGGCGACCACCTGTCCTGGAAGACCACTCGAATAAGGCGACCACCTGTCCTGGAAGACCACTCGAATAAGGCGACCACCTGTCCTGGAAGACCACTCGAATAAGGCGACCACCTGTCCTGGAAGACCACTCGAATAAGGCGACCACCTGTCCTGGAAGACCACTCGAATAAGGCGACCACCTGTCCTGGAAGACCACTCGAATAAGGTGACCACCTGTCCTGGAAGACCACTCGAATAAGGCGACCACCTGTCCTGGTAGACCACTCGAATAAGGTGACCACCTGTCCTGGAAGACCACTCGAATAAGGCGACCACCTGTCCTGGAAGACCACTCGAATGAGGCGACCACCTGTCCTGGAAGACCACTGGAACCAGGACCAAGGGGTGCTATTTTCAGTCAAAGGACCCTGGATCAGGAGACCACCTGGTAACAGAGGCCACATTCTAAAGGTCCCTTGAGCGGTCGTCTTAGACAGGTATTACTGTACTTTAACCCAGACCAATGTGACCAGAAAGTAGATGGTGGCCCAGCAAGTCCTCCCTAGTGTCTTCGTGATGCAGTTGTGGACATCTGCGCTGGTTTGATCGTGCGTGATCCTCCGGTGGACAAACCAGAGCTATTCGGGTGCGGACTACAGGAAAGATCTGTTGTTCGTGAAGGCGAGAAAATCAGCCGCCATCCATGAATGTTAGATGTTTTAGAGAGTTTCAGTTGAGTGTTTACCCCGGCCATTGATGTCAGGGTTCTAGCCAGGTCAAAAATGGTAGGGAGGGGAGTGGGGGCAGGGGAAACAGTTGCCCTGTAAGGGCCATAACCCATTTTCTCCATTTTGCAAAATTGTCTTGCCATGCAAACATGCAACGTTCGGGGTAATGTGCATGAAAAGCACAAAAATCGACAAATGAGTACGGCGGGGGAGGACGCCACTTTTTCACAGGAGTGCGCTCAACCAGAGTAGGGAGGGTAGGAGGGGGGGGGCTGCACCCTCCCCCCCCCCCCCCCTCTGGCTAGAGCCATGGATGTTATAAGAGTACCTACTGTGTGTATAAATCCAAATATGGCCTGCAATGGGATTTAGACGTGTTGCCTCGGTGCGTATACCGTCTTCCCCCCTTCATGTGTATAGAACTAACGGTTACAAGTGAACTCAGATGGTGAGACAATTTTTTTATGGTAAAAACAGGAGAAGGACAAAATGTTACGAGTTATGACTACCTGTCCACAAAGTGAAAGTGAATGTGACAAGTGAGTAGTGGTTTTGGCAAGCCGCTGGAAAGTGCCCAATGCAAAGAGCACAGCGTTTGGGCATGAGACAGAAAATGAGAGTATCCCCCCCCCCCCGGCATGAATCTTTGATAGGAAGTAGTTTTAAAGAGCAGACCCGCTTTTCTCAGCGAATGGGAAAGAGCGGACCTGCTCGTAACTACATGCTATGAATGAAGCTGCAGGAAGCCTCTCGGCTGCTACGATGAAACTTTGAGTTACGACAATGCAGTTTTAATTGGACCTGTCTCATCTATAATAATAATAATAATAATAATTAGGGCTGAAACGATCGTGGATTTTCACCTATCGATTACTCCTGAGCTTAACGATCGATTTATCGATTATAATCGTTAACAAATAGTGTCAGAATTTTGTGCAAACATTGCTCTGTTTCCGAAATCTAAGCCGTTATAATACCACAAATTTGCATTAGTGACAGGGTAGCTCAGAAACATGGCAGTTTTGAAGTCAATTTAACCTCAGAATATGCACTATGTCCCAGGTAACTACATACTCACAGTGTAAACTGATTCAAACTTCGCAAAACGCGAGTTGTCAGTACTTTTTGGACTCAAAACCCCTAACGAGTAATCTATAACGTAACGATTACTTGATTGATAAGGAATTATCGATCGATTACCGAGTAATTGGTATAATCGTTTCAGCCCTAATAATAATAATAATAATTTTCCCGTTTGTCTCTTTCCCTCAAACCAGTTAAAATAATAATAATAATATTATGTACAGCAATACGTGCACTGTACAGAGCACTAGCACTCTTTGCTCTACGGTGTGAGAAGCACTTTCGTACGATAGCGGTGACAGCGCAAGGGGTCAGTGCGTGGAGGCCAGCAGATCTTGCAAAAGCGGGGTGGGCGTTTGCAGTGGACTTTACCGTACTGTCTAAAGCAAGGGGGGGGGGGATGGCAGGTGTGGTTCAGTCAAGTGTCAATTCATCGGCGGAATAGCGCGAGCTCCAGTGTGGGAGAAAACCTATTCCAAAATAGGTACTGTAAGTGTGCAAATTTTTCGGCCCATTCACATTTCGGCCTCCCGGGGCTAAAACCCAATTTCGGCCGCATCAACTGTTCGGTCTGTACTGCCGCCGCCAGTATACCATGGTATACACTGTCACACTGAACCTTGCAAAACAACAATTTTGGGCGAAACAAATTTTGGGCGAAACATGACCAGGCCGAAAATCGCCGAAAATCGATAAAATTATGTGCCGAATATTTAGGAAATCCGCAGAGGCCACATGCCACGTACTGCTCTTTTCTCTCTGAAACTCAACACTTGCAAGCCAGAAAAGAGCAGTACGTGGCATGTGGCCTCTGATTTCCTAATACTTTGAAATTCTCCGTGAAGTCCAAATTTGAATATTTGTTGACTTTAATACAGTATAATTATTCCTGTTCTGTTGTTATCGTGTTGTTTACTACAGACGACTACTTGTGCAGATCTGCGCTTCACGTAAGGCTGCGGTACTTTCCAGCTGACATGCCGTTTGCCCGTGCGGAGCAGACTTGCAAGGAAAACAATGGATTTATTGCGCCGCACGACAGCTGTACGAAGGGGTTCATCTCGGAGCTCACTCCGACCGGCGGTGCATCGAAACCGGTCGTCTGGCTGGCGAAGAATAGCAGCGCGCCCGGCGTGAGCTCTGCGTCGGACGGCTCTCAGCATAAGCAGTCTGGAAGCGAGGCTGGACAGGCAATGCACAAGGTTGTCTGCCGGATTGCCCTTGGTGAGTTGTAGCATTCGATCAGCAGCCGCACTGTGTATAGAATGGCCTCATGTCCGTCACATGACCACACCTGGCAGCCATGTTTGACTCCAACACTCCACTCAAACCCTGCATCTACGGGTCACATGACGTCGGCCATGTTGGTTCCAACAAGAATAAGAGAATGACCAAGTGTTGTTGGAACTATAGTAGCTCTGCCGTTCGGTATTGAGCGCTCAGTTGAACAGCCTGGAAACGATCTGCTTTACTTGCACAATATCCTGTTGAGGTTGTGCCTCCCCTTAATGCCCTGTGTTCGGTCTCTTCAGTTTCTCGGTCCGGCGCAGTCGTTTTCACTCTCACCCCTCTACGCGCGTCACCCATGCTACTGTAGCTTCAACAACACTTTGCCATCCTCTTATTCTTGTTGGCTTTTATTGTGTATGTACGTTGTGTTGCGCTGTGCTGACACACAAAGTCGCACACATAACACATTCGTGTGCACAGATACAGAATTAGTGGACGGCATCATCGTCCATTCTCGATGGCCTCAAACGTACCGTGGCGCACTATTTCGCCGGACGAGGGAGTTAACAAAGGCGCAGCCTCAACAAAATACTGTGCTGCAGGAATGTTGATGTGTGTCTCTGATTTGTATTTGTATTTTATTATATTATTTTAAGGATTTCCCAAAGGCTTTGGGCCTGTCGAGGGGATCTCCTGCAAGAAGAATGAAACGACAGCTTTATGTAGAGGGAGCAGTTAATCGAGGATAGGCTAAGGAAATAGATTGAGGCATACAAAATCTGGTAATTAAGGAGTTGGGATACCGTCAGTGTAATGAATATATTGGCGAAAATGCTGATAGAGAGAATGCTTAACTTCGGGGAGGCTGGTTATCGAGGTAAGAGAAGGCGGTAGGCAATTCCATAGCATTGCAGCTTTGTTGGAAAAGAGGGAAGAAAAACGCACACCGTGATAATTGATGTTAAGTTTGTTTGGTCTTCTTGGACTTGAAGACAGTAAAAGGTGAAATATTGGAGGTGTTCTGGAGATATATGGATAAGTTTAAATAGAGTAACAAGAGCTGATACTTGTCTGCGAAAATGCAAGGACTCTAAGTCACAAAGGGCATTTAACTGGCATTTCGTTTCGCATCTATCTACATTGACTTTTTTACGTAGCAAATACTTCCTAGCTACTCTGGCTTGTAAAATATTGAAACGCTCCAGCTCAGCTTTGGTGATGGCATAGATGACTGATGATCGCTTAGTGCGTGACGCTCAGAGTTTAAAGCACTTTTTCCGTCCTCTTATTGTTTGAACAAGAGATGAGGTGGGTAACAAGAGATGGGTCGTCAACATCAAAGAAGACCTCAGACCTCTGAATGTGCCGATTCAGAAATGCCTCAACCTCACCACCCACACTGAGCAACTCTGGTTAACGATCATTGACAGACGCATGACCCCGTATGATTTGTTTATGCGGGCAATGTGCGACCTGTTCGTATTATTATTATTGTTGTTGTTTGAACTGGCTCTGCCTTTCGGCATTGAGCACTCTCTTGGACAGCCTGGAACCTCTCTGTTATACTGTCACACATGCACAGTAAAACCTGTCAAGGCGACCACTCGAATACGGCGACCACCTGTCCTAGAAGACCACTGAAACCAGGACCAATGCATGATATGTCCTGTCAAATGACCCTGGATAAGGAGACCACCTGGCAACCGAGACTGCGTTTAAAAGGTCCCTTGAACGCTCGTCTTAGACATGTTTCACTGTATGTTGGCTGTGATGTGCAGAGCACCATACGTGTGGAGCGGACGCGGCATCCAAGACCAGACTGCTGCTGCTCGGCGCCGACATGCCGTTCATGCAGGCGCGCGCCTACTGCGCCAGTCTCGACATGCGCCTCACCTGGTCTAAGACCTGCGCCAAACAGCTCGTACAGTCCCTGGGCAAGACGGGGAAGGCCTGGGTCGAAGGGAAGGTCAATGGCTGGTATCGCCACGACACCAACGGCCATATACGCCATCCGAACGAGCATCTCCGCGTTGTCTGCGAAGCCAAGTTTGACGGTAAGCAATTTGAGATTTTGTACTTTTTGCTGTTTTTAAGGATTCCCCAGAGGCTTTTGCCTGTCGAGGGGGTTTCCAAACTTTCCGTCATACCAAAGCTGTGCAGTGAAGTGGTGAGCAATAGGTGAGCAAAGACAGGGATAAAGAAGTGTGAGTAGTGTAGCTGTGGTGCTCCGCATCGTCAGGCAGCTTGGGTCTCAGTGCTGTGGATTTCTGGCTGCATTATGCTTCATTTCTTTATCCACATACCAAACATGCAAGAATTACACCAGGAAAGTACCAAATTGTCTGCCAATTTTTCCGCTGGCATTATACGCCGAGGGCTACCACTGCTGCCCCCCCCCCCCCCCAAATTAGAATGTGACCAGAGTGGTTTTCACAGGTACAGTTTGATATGATTGTTAAAAAAATCACGGTTCGCGTGAGACTCGGCCAAAGGCCCAGTTTTCCGCATCCGCAGGAACGCCACCACCCTCTTGGATCAAGGCGCAGATGCAGATGCAGATATCTACAAAAAGACTAAAGATATTTGAAAATATGAACAAATCTGAAGAGAAGGAAAACGCAACTGAAGAGGCAAAGCACATGAAGCACGGAAATCTCTCCCTCAAGCCAAGCAAGCATGCCGTTATGGTGCGAGGTTATACAGCTGTGGCACAAATCTAGTACGGGAGTAGATAAACTACAGACAACATATGGCATGGGGAATCCATATACATCACAGGTCTACCTTCATTAATACAACATCGGTTACATCACCCTCTCCCATACATGTAAAATTGTTTTTTTTTTAATTTTTTTACGGATTCTCCAGAGATAAAATGGATACCTATCATGGGAGTCTCACCAAACCAATAAAAATAATGAAAATAAAATTATGTATGGAGTGCAAAAAAACTCAAAATCTGAGATTTTCAAAGTGATGTAAATCACTTTCCAACGGCATAACCCACAGCCCCACCCACAGCATCTCACCTTCTCATAAACTTATCTCTTATTGGGGATGGTGCCATTGTGAGAATAAAGAATTCAAATTTCAAAAACTACAAAAACAAACCTCATTGCTAGGCAATGAGCCAAAATCCCCTGACACCCGAAACGCGTGCATTCAAGCACGAATAGTAGATAATACTCCTGGTAAGACGAAGAATTTGACCCCCCCCTCCCCCCGGGTTGTCTGCTAACGAGACCAGACCTACATATTCCAGCACCATCAGCACCTGTCAATGCTTGCTTACTCATGGATGCTATCTTTAGGTTGAATACGATGTGACAGAACACATCACTTCTCCTTTGTAGCTTTTTTTCGTGGAAATGGGGAGATCGTATGCCGTATCTCTTGGCCCTCCTACATCACACCGTGTGTGTTATTTAGTGTTCTGGCAAGTCACAGCTAGGTGAAAAAGCAGAGGCGGACCCAGGGGTGCCGCAAAAACGCTCGCGCACCCTCAGGTTTCAAAAAAGAAAGAAGGAAGAGGAAAGAAACGGTGGCGAAGCTATCTTACCCCGGGTAGTGTCCTGTCCCCGGCCTCATGTATACGCTCTCTCTTTCTCTCTCTCTCTCTCTCCCTCTCTCTCTCTCTCTCTCTCTCTCTCTCTGTCTCTCTCTCTCTCTCTCTCTCTCTCTCTCTTACTCTCTCTTTCCTTTGTGCCGCAGATCACACTGAAGACTTGTGCTTGGCATCTGATTCGCCCACACGGATGAAGATCTATCGGGGATGGATAGGTACACATCAGGAGGCGCAGTATATTTGTCGTTTCCGTGGTGGAACTCTGGTCTCCTCGCCAGCTTGCGGAGCAGCATTAACAAGACTTGTTGAAGGCCATCAACATGTGGCCTGGACTTCCACTTTTAAAGGCGATCTTGCTCTGGATAGTCGTGGCATTTATAGGCCGAGGCGGGAACGAGCCAATGTGGTTTGTGAATTTACCAAGAAAAAGAACGCGGCGCAAGACCCCACCTCTCTGCCAGCAGGTTGGTGTACATTGGCCGTTGTTGTTGTTGCTACTGTTGCGTCTGCTGCTGATGCTGCTGTTGCTGTTGACACTCACCACCATGACGACCACCTCCACCACTGCCGCCGCCACCAGCACCACCGCCACCAGCACCACCTAGTCGCTGCACCTTTTTGTTGCTCCAACATTTTTGAAACTTGTGTCTGGTTTTGCTTTTTCCCCAATTATTACTGCAGAGGACTATAAATGCCCAAACCTTCCCAACACACATTACAGGTTCTTCAATGTGGAATTGGCCTACTTCGACGCTGTAGAGTTCTGCTCCAAGATACATGGCAGCATTGTGTATGACGGTGCATGCTCCCAATCGCTTCACACCTCTCTGCTGAGGAAGGCAGCGCGTGTGCCGAAGCCAGGGTTCTGGTTGGAGAATCAGCAAGGCAGTCACTTCCAGCGCCTGTCGTCAGACGGTGCTCTCAGTCAGGTGCTCTCCGATGCCAAGAAGAAGGTGGTCTGTGAAATTCCACATTGTAAGTGCTGTAGTGTGTAGTATTTGTCGCCGTATTGTCTCTCTCCGTATTGTCTCTCTCTCTCTCTCTCTCTCTCTCTCTCTCTCTCTCTCTCTGTATTGTCTCTCCGTACTGTCTCTCTTCGTATTGTCTCTCTCCGTATTGTCTCTCTCCTTATTGTCTCTCTCCGTACTGTCTCTCTCCGTATAGTCTCTCTCCATACTGTCTTTCTCCGTACAGTCCCTCTCCATACTGTCTCTCTCCGTATTGTTTCTCTTCGTATTGTCTCTCTCCGCACTGTCTCTCTCCGTACTGTCTCTCTCCGTACTGTCTCTCTCCGTACTGTCTCTCTCCGTATTGTCTCTCTCCGTATTGTCTCTCTTCGTACTGTTCCTCTCTCTCTCATCATGGTGGCTGGAGAAATATTGGGCCCCACGTTAGGCCTTGGCGGATAATGCCGGCAGAAAAATTGGCAGAATTCGGTACTTTTTCTGGTAAGTTTCATGCATGTTTGGTATGTGGATAAAGAAATGGAGCAGAATTTGAGGAACTGCACGCCATAAGGTTTGTATGGTTCTGCCAATTTCACTGCTTTTCGAGCAGAATCTGCCACCTTTTCGAGCATTATCCGCCAGGGCCTACCCCACGTGGCAACGTGGTGTATGTGTGTGTGTGTTTATGTTTGTGTTTACGTGTGTGTGTGTGCGTGTGTGCGTGTGTGTGTGCACGCATGTACGTGTGTGCTCGCATGTGGGTGCGCACATGTGTGCACGTGCATAACGTTATATGTGTGTACGTGCACGTGTGTATATGCGTGTGCCCAAATGCGTTCGTTCTTGTCAATGCACAGCAACCTTCAACTGCCCGCATCGGCCCGCAGTAACACTCAAGTACTTTCCAGTCATGATGGACTATCCCAAAGCAAAGGAACACTGTGCCAAATTTGGCGCACAACTACCCAGAAATTCAACCAAACGGTGTATGACCGACTTTTTAAGGACGACCGGAAGACACAACCCAAGTGCTTGGCTGGCGCACCGTTCGGCCGGCGAAAAGAAACTTGTCGTCTGCGAGTTTGTTCCGGGTGAGTAGTCACAGACCTTCACTATGTGCAGGCTGGGGGCTGTGCAGGCTGGGGGCTGTGCAGGCTGGGGGCTGTGCATGCTGTGGGCTGTGCAGGCTGGGGCTATGGACGAAAAGGAACAAGTTTCTAGTTGTGTCTGCGAGTTTCCAGAAACGAGAAGAGCGTGTGCGAGTAAGAGAGAGGGGGAGAGAGAGAGAGAGAGAGAGAGAGAGAGAGAGAGAGAGAGAGAGGAAGAGAGTGTGTGTGTGTGTGTGTGTGTGTGTGTGTGTGTGTGTGTGTGTGTGTGTGTGTGTGTGTGTGTGTGTGTGTGTGTGTGTGTGTGTGTGTGTGTGTGTGTGTGTGTGTGTGAGAGTGTGTGTGTGTGAGGGAGAGAGTGAGAGTATGTGTGTGTGTGTGTGTGTGTGTGTGTGTGTGTGTGTGTGTGTGTGTGTGTGTGCGTCAGAGAGTGAGAGAGTGAGTGAGTGAGTGAGAGAGAGAGAGAGAGAGAGAGAGAGAGAGAGAGAGAGAGAGAGAGAGAGAGAGAGAGAGAGAGAGAGAGAGAGAGAGAGAGAGAGAGAGAGAGAGAGAGAGAGAGAGAGAGAGAGAGAGAGAGAGATAGTCCTAGAGAGAGTGAGTGAGTGAAAGATCTTCATTGTCTCTATGCGTACGACTGAGTCACACAGTTTATCGTGGTTGTGGTTTTACTAACTGAAGAAATGACAACCAGCGGGGCGGCATATGAGCATGCACGCAACAACAGTGTTGTAGACATAACAATGACGTAAGCGTTCCATGGCGCATGCACAGAAGACTGCACATGCAACCAAAACAGTGCAACAAAGCCAGTAAGAAGAACTAGAAAACAAAACCAGAGAACCACATGCGCACTCAATGGAAAGAAGCCTTGAAGAGTCTTCCGCAATAACTAGCCCGTTGCGCAAGAACGTCTGATATAGTCTATGAGGAGATAGCAGTGTAATACCAGCTATAAGCACCGCATTCCCCCGAATATAAGGCACACTCGATTATAAGGCACACTCGATTATAAGGTACACTCGATTATAAGGCACACTCGATTACGAGGGGCACTCGATTATAAGGCGCACTCGATTATAAGGCACACTCGATCATAAGGCACACTCGATTATAAGGTGCACTCGATTATAAGGCACACTTGATTATAAGGCGCACTCGATTATAAGGCACACTCGATTATAAGGCGCACTCGATTATAAGGCGCACTCGATAATAAGGCGCACTCGATTATAAGGCGCACTCGATTATAAGGCACACTCGATTATAAGGCACACTCGATCATAAGGCGCACTCGATCATAAGGCGCACTCGATCATAAGGCACACTCGATTATAAGGTGCACTCGATTATAAGGCGCACTCGATTATAAGGCGCACTCGATTATAAGGCGCACTCGATTATAAGGCGCACTCGATTATAAGGCGCACTCGATTATAAGGCGCACTCGATTATAAGGCGCACTCGAATATAAGGCGCACTCGATTATAAGGCGCACTCGATTATAAGGCACACTCGATTATAAGGCGCACTCGACCATAAGGCGCACTCGATCATAAGGCGCACTCGATCATAAGGCACACTCGAATATAAGGCGCACTCGATCATAAGGCGCAGGCACATTTGATCATAAGGCGCACTCGATTATAAGGCACACTCGATTATAAGGCGCACTCGATTATATGGCGCACTCGATTATAAGGCGCACTCCATTATAAGGCGCACTCGATTATAAGGCACACTCGATTTTAAGGCACACTCGATCATAAGGCGCACTCGATCATAAGGCGCACTCCATTATAAGGCACACTCGATTATAAGGCGCACTCGATTATATGGCACACTCGATTATAAGGCACACTCGATCATAAGGCCTACTCGATTATAAGGCGCACTCGATTATAAGGTGCACTCGATTATAAGGCATACTCGATTATAAGGCGCACTCGATTATAAGGCGCACTCGATTATCAGGCGCACTCGATTATAAGGCGCACTCGATCATAAGGCGCACTCGATGATAAGGCGCACTCGATTATAAGGCGCACTCGATTATAAGGCGCACTCGATTATAAGGCGCACTCGATTATAAGGCGCACTCGATTATAAGGCGCACTCGATCATAAGGCGCACTCGATCATAAGGCACACTCGATTATAAGGCACACTCGATTATAAGGTACACTCGATTATAAGGGGCACTCGACCATAAGGCGCACTCGATCATAAGGCGCACTCGATCATAAGGCACACTCGAATATAAGGCGCACTCGATCATAAGGCACAGGCACATTTGATCATAAGGCGCACTCGATTATAAGGCACACTCGATTATAAGGCGCACTCGATTATATGGCGCACTCGATTATAAGGCGCACTCCATTATAAGGCGCACTCGATTATAAGGCACACTCGATTTTAAGGCACACTCGATCATAAGGCGCACTCGATCATAAGGCACACTCCATTATAAGGCACACTCGATTATAAGGCGCACTCGATTATATGGCACACTCGATTATAAGGCACACTCGATCATAAGGCCTACTCGATTATAAGGCGCACTCGATTATAAGGCGCACTCGATTATAAGGCACACTCGATTATAAGGCGCACTCGATTATAAGGCGCACTCGATTATCAGGCGCACTCGATTATAAGGCGCACTCGATCATAAGGCGCACTCGATGATAAGGCGCACTCGATTATAAGGCGCACTCGATTATAAGGCGCACTCGATTATAAGGCGCACTCCATTATAAGGCGCACTCGATTATAAGGCGCACTCGATCATAAGGCGCACTCGATCATAAGGCACACTCGATTATAAGGCACACTCGATTATAAGGTACACTCGATTATAAGGGGCACTCGATTATAAGGCGCACTCGATTATAAGGCACGCTCGATCATAAGGCGCACTCGATGCTAAGGTGCACTCGATTATAAGGCGCACTCGATTATAAGGCGCACTCGATTATAAGGCGCACTCGATTATAAGGCGCACTCGATTATAAGGCGCACTCGATTATAAGGCGCACCCGATCATAAGGCGCACTCGATTATAAGGTGCGCTCGATCATAAGGCACACTCGATTATAAGGCGCACTCGATTATAAGGCGCACTCGATTATAAGGCGCACTCGATTATAAGGCGCACTCGATTATAAGGCGCACTCGATTACAAGGCACACTCGATTACAAGGCACACTCGATTACAAGGCGCACTCGATTATAAGGCGCACTCGATTTTAAGGCACACTCGATTATATGGCGCACTCGATTATAAGGCACACTCGATTATAAGGCGCACTCGATCATAAGGCGCACTCGATCATAAGGCGCACTCGATTATAAGGCACACTCGATTATAAGGCGCACTCGATCATAAGGCGCAGGCACATTTGATCATAAGGCGCACTCGATTATAAGGCACACTCGATTATAAGGCGCACTCGATTATAAGGCACACTCGATCATAAGGCACACTCGATTATAAGGTGCACTCGATTATAAGGCACACTTGATTATAAGGCGCACTCGATTATAAGGCACACTCGATTATAAGGCGCACTCGATTATAAGGCGCACTCGATAATAAGGCGCACTCGATTATAAGGCGCACTCGATTATAAGGCACACTCGATTATAAGGCACACTCGATCATAAGGCGCACTCGATCATAAGGCGCACTCGATCATAAGGCACACTCGATTATAAGGTGCACTCGATTATAAGGCGCACTCGATTATAAGGCGCACTCGATTATAAGGCGCACTCGATTATAAGGCGCACTCGATTATAAGGCGCACTCGATTATAAGGCGCACTCGATTATAAGGCGCACTCGAATATAAGGCGCACTCGATTATAAGGCGCACTCGATTATAAGGCACACTCGATTATAAGGCGCACTCGACCATAAGGCGCACTCGATCATAAGGCGCACTCGATCATAAGGCACACTCGAATATAAGGCGCACTCGATCATAAGGCGCAGGCACATTTGATCATAAGGCGCACTCGATTATAAGGCACACTCGATTATAAGGCGCACTCGATTATATGGCGCACTCGATTATAAGGCGCACTCCATTATAAGGCGCACTCGATTATAAGGCACACTCGATTTTAAGGCACACTCGATCATAAGGCGCACTCGATCATAAGGCGCACTCCATTATAAGGCACACTCGATTATAAGGCGCACTCGATTATATGGCACACTCGATTATAAGGCACACTCGATCATAAGGCCTACTCGATTATAAGGCGCACTCGATTATAAGGTGCACTCGATTATAAGGCATACTCGATTATAAGGCGCACTCGATTATAAGGCGCACTCGATTATCAGGCGCACTCGATTATAAGGCGCACTCGATCATAAGGCGCACTCGATGATAAGGCGCACTCGATTATAAGGCGCACTCGATTATAAGGCGCACTCGATTATAAGGCGCACTCGATTATAAGGCGCACTCGATTATAAGGCGCACTCGATCATAAGGCGCACTCGATCATAAGGCACACTCGATTATAAGGCACACTCGATTATAAGGTACACTCGATTATAAGGGGCACTCGACCATAAGGCGCACTCGATCATAAGGCGCACTCGATCATAAGGCACACTCGAATATAAGGCGCACTCGATCATAAGGCACAGGCACATTTGATCATAAGGCGCACTCGATTATAAGGCACACTCGATTATAAGGCGCACTCGATTATATGGCGCACTCGATTATAAGGCGCACTCCATTATAAGGCGCACTCGATTATAAGGCACACTCGATTTTAAGGCACACTCGATCATAAGGCGCACTCGATCATAAGGCACACTCCATTATAAGGCACACTCGATTATAAGGCGCACTCGATTATATGGCACACTCGATTATAAGGCACACTCGATCATAAGGCCTACTCGATTATAAGGCGCACTCGATTATAAGGCGCACTCGATTATAAGGCACACTCGATTATA